CAAGTTTGTGATATTTTTTGATTTTATAATTTTGATGCAAGGGGTCTTGCAAAATATTGTTACAGCACTGACATAGAGGTTAAGTACAAAATCAAAATGAGCATGCGCCTAACTATGATCGCTTCTCTTACCCCGTACCCCGCATCTCCGTTACTATTCTGATTTCCAGTTCGCGTTTGTTGCCCGTGAAGGATGCCTTCTGCCAACCCTAAACTAGAAAAACAGGCCTCTACGGAGACCGTAGATCCCATACGCCAAGCGATTATCGTTATCGAACATAAGATACGGAATCTTGAAAAGCGTAAGGTGAGTATTTGAAGAATATATACATGAATAAGGATGAGAAAATTATCTGTCAGTTGATGGCTTTTACGGTGCAATCCGCCATGATTGGATACGCCATGTGCTCACGCTTGAGATTTCGTAGGTATCTGATGATTATATTATGATGAACTAACCCTTATTATGTTATTTTGGTATTGGACCCCTTTCGTTAAAACTGAGTTAATGCAAAATAGTTTTTCTTCATATAATCAAACGCATAAATTTGCAATCGCGGACCTCGTGTCATGGCGGTATCTTCTAAAGATGTGCACAAAACTTTACGTGACACGCTTTGAAGCTGCTACCGGTAAATTAGATTGTGAAATAGTATTGTTCGTTAGTGAAACTCTAACAATCTAAATATAAAATTTATACACAAATTTCATTTTAAAATGTTAAGAATTCTTCGTTTGTCCTCGTTTGTAGTACTTGCCTGAATTAGTTTTTTGGAATCATATAACTCTATAAGAAATCACGAACCAAAATTATCTTCTTACACAAATAATAAATAACTACGTGCAAATTTGTATTCAAAGTTAGAAATGATGTTAAATTTGATATTTTAGATAAAAGTTAATTAACTTTATTCCAAATTGTGTATATGATTGTATGTATATGTATAACATACATATCAGCTATATAAAGTATAATGTACATACAGGAAACTTTATGTATATTTACACACACGCGCGCGCGCGCACGCACACACGCACGCACGTATATATATACATATTCATATAACACATACCCATTATTATTTTCCAATACATTCAGTTAGTTTTATCAATTACATTACTTCTTTTTTAAAATATTTTGACAACATTAATACTATATATCATATTTAGGTGAAGTTAGAATCATACAGGGATCTACAGAAGAATGGAAGGGAACTAAATGCAGATCAAAAAACAGCAGTGGCCAAATATGATGAAGTATTACAGACATTGGATATCACAAAGGAACTATATAAACAAATTGTTGGTATTGCAAGTGATGCAGTTAAGCAACAGAAAAAATTGGCAAGGAAAGAAGCTATTGAGAGAATGCAACAAGATATTGCAAAGGTACATTAAATCTTTTGTTTATAATGTAAACTTCACAATATAAACATTCTGTATTATTCTATTAAGTATTTTTTGTACTCATTAATTATAGGTGAAAGAAGTTCTTCTTATACAAGATGCACTAATGAATATGGGTTCAGAATCTGTTAGAGAAGATTTTCTTGCTGGAAGAAATGGTGCTGTGAAACTATCAGAACAGGATTTAAAATATTTGGACAGCTTATACAATGAGGTTATGATGAAACACCATAGAGAAGAAGGTGAACCAACATTTCCCCAACAAGTGCAAAAAGTAGCAGAACATTATGTAGCCATTGTTGATGGAAAGCAAAGAGAAGTTGTTGGTACAACTTATAACAAATTAAAGGAAATTATTGCTTCTATTAACCAATGTGGCTATTTTGATCAAGTTCATGAAACTGAAGCTGTAGTAGAAGAAGTAAGTCGCATAAAGTATATTGTAATTTTGTACAGCCGATTTAGAAACAAAATGTAATTGGAAAAGCAAAACATGATAGTAAAGATTAATTTTTTTATTTTCTACAGGTTGTAGAGGCAGTAGCAGAGCCTCAAATATCAGAAACTCCTGCACAAGATCAAGTCAATGAAGAATATAATAGCAATGATAGACACATTCCACCTGAGTCCATGATTCCCATTCCTAATTTTCCAGTACAAGTTGCTCCTCTCCCTGTTGTTCCTGCCACCACCCCAGTTTCTGGCCCTATTCCTGTAGTTGCACAACCCATTCCACCACATCCAGCTGCACCAGTTGAAACATCTTACTATACAAATGCTACAGGATTTGTTCCTCAACCACAACAGCAACAACAACCTCAACAAACTCAGCAACAACCACCACAAGCTCCTAGAATTAATGATGTTATAGGCACACCAAACTTCTTTTTCTTGCAAGAATCGGAGCTTGATTCACCGGATGTTACATCACAAGCACCTATCGTTTTCGCAAATGCACCGGTAGTACCACAACAAGTTATATACCAACATCAACCACCACAGGATATGTCCCACATTCCTGGATTTGCTAATCCTAATCCACCTCCACCTATTCCAATGCCACCTTCTCATCAACAACCAAATATGCAGTATAGTCCTCAACATCCTACCAATTTTCAACAGCAGCCACAACAACAACAACAGCAGCAACCGCAAGCTCCTCCGCAACAAATGTCGCAACAAGCACAAACTCCGAATTTTGAACATCCACAAGAAAGTCAACCACAACCTGCTGAAGTATGTACAAATTCACAACACAATATTACATTGTTTTTATGATCGAGTATTAAAATATTTGTGTTTTAGGAAAAACCTGAGGAAAACCATGATGAAACAGCAGCACCTGAGGCAGAATTAGAGCAACCAAGTGAATCAGTGGATTGGTGCCAGATGACTGAGACTAATGATTGGAATCAGACAGAGCCATCACAACAACCTGCACAAGATTCACAACAGACACAGCAACCAACATCTCAGCAAGCTTGGGGTGATCAACAACGTAGTGCATACAGGGGCAGGGGTGGTAGAAGGGGTAATTCTAATGGGTACAATGGAAGAGGTAGGGGTGGTGGTTATCAACAAAATGGACGTGGAGGACAAGGTAAAGTATATATTGTGTTGTTTAAATACAAAGATTAAATGCATTTGTTGATTAAATAATAATTCCATTTTTAGGAACATACTATCGCAATGACAGTAACTATCAGAATGGCTATCAACAACGATCTTGGGGAAATAGCGAAGGAAATAGTGGTTACAATTCTGGTTATAAAAGAGGTGGTGGTGGACCAAGAGGAGGTCCTCGAGGTGAGCGTGGTATGGATAGAGGTGGCCGAGGACAGTTTCGCAGCCAAAGGGGTGGAAATCGTAGCGGTTATACACCCCGTGGTAAACCCCATACGCAACAGTAATACAACTACGATAGAATAATGCACAGTGAAACATAAATAATGCTGTAAGATCAATTCAATTGTCTATTTATGAAAAAACCTAAGTCGTACCTTCAAAATGAGCAAAGACTTGGGAAGAAATTGTACACTAAGTTGTATACATGAATTTTAGTATGTAAAGTAGTAACTTCAACGTTCCAGATTGTTGTTCGATAGTTATGTGAAATACACAAGGAGAAGAAAACTGAACTACGACTAAATAATTATCTTTATATACGTCAAGTATATAACACTGAGGAAAGAAGATGCTGATAATTATGTTATTTTACATGTAAGAATGTTGCATTTAACTGATGGGAGAAGAAGTACATTTTGGTATATTTTTCTGCGGCTTAGGATATTTCCTAAATAAGACATTGAATACCAAAATTTTGCATTTGAATTTGGTATTTACAATTATCAAAAGAAAGATCTATTAATATTAACGAAAAAGTTATGCAGACGTAACATTGTGATATAAAAAGAGATCAACCAAATTTAGAAGCGTGAACCCACCATGCAAGTATTATTGTGTTGTGACAGAAGGCAGTTTTCACAGGGCAACAACAGCTGATCAACAAAGATTAGAAAAATAATTTTATTATAAAAAAATACAAAAAAAATGAGAACTCATACAAGCATTTCACGCAAAGACACAAGGGTGTATTTAACGAATAACGTTAAAATGATTACACAAATAGATGAACTGCACGACCATCTCTTTGTCTTGCGGCGCATCGTTCTAGAGAATTTTTTAAGATACCAGAAAAAAGAGGATACAGTGAGCAATGTCTTCTAGTGCTATATATCTTCTTGACTTCATATTCCACTTTCGGTCTATGAATCTGCGAAGCATTTAGAAAGTTAACGTTGTCGAGATTTAGTAGTTGGAGAGAAGTAAAAGACTCACGTAATACGTGAATCTCTAAAAATGTTTTTCATGAAACATGTTTAATGATTACTACCAATTACGTCGCTCCCTCTTCTGTTTTTTCTGTGTGATTCCAAAATTCTTTACGGTCGCCTACGCAGCTGGCCAAGTAAAAGAGATTACAGTGCAATGTCAAGTTTATGAAGCAACATTACCTGATTTTTTTTATCGCAAAATATATATGATTATTTTTAAAAAAAAAGAAGCGATAGTGCGAAGCTTTAGCATGTAAGTCGAGTGTACATTTACTGACTAGAGGCAAAGAAGGCATGTTTGAATAGTGCGTCACTGACAAAAGCCACGCTCACACCGCCAAACATATGATGAGGAGTACCGTATTGTATTTCGTTTGTACATTTGTGTTTAATCACCTCCATCTACAGTTATGTTCAAGTATCCTATGAATACCTATGTATCTTCCAAATAAAGATCTAATTCAACCCTGCTAACTAGCCTACCTATCGTACTCATTGTCAATATGAGAAACGTTTCATTCTTCAGCTTGTTCTCAAATAAAAAAAATCGAATAAAGTACTTGATTAATCATATTTGAATAGTAGTTTCTATTTTATAATCAATCTATTGCTTTCTCTATTTTTATAAAGTTACGAAATAATTATGTTATTTACTTATAACATACTGTAATTTGATTTGTGAATAAACTGACTATTTAAATTTCGCGCTTTTTTCATCTATGGTACAGTACTTTCGTTGATTATCGTAGTCAAAATTCGTTTTAAATTGAACGTGGTTTTAAATCTTATAATGTTTGGTATGTCAAGTTGATATAACACAGTTAACATAATATCGTATCTTATAACTAACATTTCTAATAAAATTGTATATATTTTATATTATACAAGCTACAAGTTACGAGTATATCCTAAAAACAGTTATAATACAATTATAATAGTAACTGATGTGATGAAGTAAAGGTAATCAAACTTTTTACTTTCTTTGAAAATTAATTGAAATTAAACTAACTGTATATATTATATGTCTTGTTCCTACAATGACAAATGCAATACTAAATAGTTGATATGTGTTAATAAATACATTAAGGTTAAGAATATCATGTTTATAATCTTACAGCGTTATGTCAAAATATTCCATTGTAATTTTATGCAGTTTATTTGATCTTCTAGAATAATGATTGAAACTGCTTGTGATCCTACAATTGAAAAACACTTTAAAGGTCACGAAAACATTATTACAAGTTTATGCTTTCATCCTGAAACTACTCAACTTATATCAAGTAGCTCAGATAAAACTATAATATTATGGAATTTGAAGGAATCTGTAAGGGCTTATAGATTTCTTGGACATAAGGATGCAATTTTGGATGTCACTTATGCACCATCAGGAGAAGTCATAGCTAGTGCTTCCAGGGATAGAACTGTTAGAATTTGGGTTCCTAAAGTAACAGGACAATGTTTAGATTTTAAAGCCCATTTAGGAGCTGTAAGATCAGTACAGTTTAGTCCAGATGGAGAAAAGGTATTTTTATATCTTAAATAACAATAGATTTATTACTTATCAGTTAAAATATTTTTATAACATAAATATACATATATTTTTGTATATAGTTAATTACTGCATCAGATGATAAAAGTGTTAAATTATGGATGGTATGTCAAAGAAGATTTCTTATGTCATTTGTGTCTCATACAAGTTGGGTCAGATGTGCTAGATTTTCTTTAGATGGTAGACTTATAGTCTCTTGTAGTGATGATAAAACAATAAAATTATGGGATGTTACTAGTGGACAATGCATTAAAACCTTTAATGATGTG